GTGTCATATCTGATTGCACATCTGTGCTCCTTCAGTGTATGAAAATAGTGACAGCTGTGTGTAAGGAGGAGAAGCCTTTATAAAAACACTTGAGCAGCAAAATTGTTTTAGTTACACTGGAGGATGCTGCATAACCCAAGAGGAGAACCTGTAACTGCATGAGGGATAAATTCTTTACTCCTTTTACCAATGCAACCCTGATGTAACCACAAAGAGTCTGACCTCCTCTCATAAGCAGACTCAGTATCTGAGAAGCTGATCTTGGGTTGAACACATTCATTGGCAACATATACACAGACCTAGTACCTCTCAGGTTCTCACGTAAAAAGAGGAGAGAACTGAGAGCATAGTAACAAGAGGCAGAATGAAGAGGCAGAAACAGGAGCTTTCCTTGTTCCTAGGAGACAGCTGACTGACAGAGCCTCTGCAGCTGGAGCTTCTGCAGTCAGAGGCAGCACATGTCTCTTTTAAACATAAATCAGATGAGACATTACAGTACTTTTAATACACCCATTACTCTTCAAGCTGCTGCTGTTGAATATTTATCATATGGCTTGCTTTGTGTACTGCCTTCTGAAGCGTGGTGGTGGTACTTGAAGATTAAATGTGAACATGCATTTGTCCATCACCCCTTTGACAGTGGGTTTGGGCTCTTCCTAACCTTCAACAGATGCTCCTTGTATGAAGCAGCTGGTGTCCTTAGACCAATCCATCACTCAGACATCCCTAGAGAGGAAACTCAAGCTCAGCAATCAGAGAGTACGAGCAAGAGGTGGATCTGTTCTCTGGCAAATTCGGAAAGGAGCTAACCAGGAATTTTGCTGCCTCCCTCTTGCCCCTGCCATAGCTCCCATTCACTGCCTGGCTTCAGAGAGCAGCAAAGCTGGCAGCTTGGGGCTGAGCCACTGGCACATTCATGGGAATATCATGAAGACATCTCTATAAGGTCCTGAGGCCTAGATAAGCAACAGCTCTCCTTGGCCGTGAAAGGTATAATTATGAGATTTGCTTTAGAGGCTTTCTTATAGCTTACAAGTCACCCATGTATGGCAGTAGCTGCTGTGATGGCTGGCATCTGCTGTGATTGTAGGGTCTGTATAGGAAATGTCCCCCTCCCTTGAAGAGGAAAGACTGGATTCTCCTGCTGGGCATCCTGCTGGGGACTTCTAGTGCTACTCTGCCTGGTCACGTCTTGCCTCCAGACTGTGTTCCACAGTGCCACGAAACCCACCAGGAGCTGAGTTTCTTCCCTGCGTGAGTGGTCCTTGACCATTACAAAGGCTATGGACCCTTTCTGGTGTGCTCACTACAGACCTATAGGCTAAGGGGAGGACCAGGCATGTTGGGATGCTTTTAAAACTTTTTGTTCCTAGGGTCCATGCACTTGTTAAAATCTGTGCTGCTCTTAAGTATGAGGTTATATTAGGAAAAAAGTGATATGCAGAGAATGCCTTTAAGAATCAGCAGCTGCCCTACAGACAGTCTCCTGCATAGCTTTATTCTTCCCACTTTGTGCACCCGCTGTGCATCTGAGGAAACTGAAGTCTTGTGGGAGGAGAGGTGTGTGGTCGCAGAATTAGACTACATATATATATATACACAGAGAGATGAAGGGATGATTTAAGATGTCCCCTACAATGCTAAGTCTGATACTTTGCCTCTTATCCAGATTAATTTCCTAGGAATAATATTTTCTTTAAAGAAAAAAGGATAAAAATAAATACTGTTATCCTGCATTAGCAGCAGGGCTGGAGCCCTGTGTCTTTCCCACGTCTCTGCTTCCAAGTGCTGCTGTCCTCGGAGTCCTTCCTAACATATGCCAGACCGCTCTTGGCCTGGTCTGAGCCTGGCACATTGGTGAATGCAATATTTTGCACAAGGCAGCATCATCCCACGTAGCCTACAGCTTCCCATCTGAGTCCCACACAGACTTCCCGATCACTTCCTAGCTGGGCTGCAGCATGGGTAGAAAGCTGCCCATCCTTCTGTAAAACAGGAGTGTAGTGCCTGAAGAGGCTTGATAAAGCTGCAGTAAAATTCAGGAGAGAGCCTCATTGGGCAAAGCTTTCTGTTAATGGGGTCTGTGTCCAGTGCACCCACTTGGAGAACAATGTGTCTCTTGGGTTACCTTACTTTTTCAGTCCCATGGGACCTCCCCTCCTTTCAGAGGAAGACCAGTAGAAATGAGGGAAACTAAGAAAGCAGTAATAACTCGTACTGGATCTGCAGTGGTTCCTGCTGGTCAGTCGTGATGGTTTTGGCCAAGCTTCTGTCAGCATAGTCAATCTTCCCAGAAAAGGGGAGAAGCTGAACATTTGGGAAGTTGTTCTTCCTTAGAGGTGCTTCAGTACTCCTGGCAATGAGACTCCTCTGTCTTTGTGAGGGGGTCCCTCCTTGCTGCCCACCAGAATGTGCTTGCGGAGTGTCCCTGTTTTGGTTCTTGGTTTTTTCTTTGCTGACGGCTACTGCTCAGTGCTCTAAACTCCTCAGCCTTCTCCAGATCTCAGTTTTGAATGCCATAATGGACTGGGCAGCTACAGATCTTTCCCACAGCCCTCATCGGGCCTTTTCCAGCTTCCAGTAGCAGAGGGAAAATCTCCCTTTTTCTGAAGGGATAAAAATGGAAGCACCTGCAGGGCTTTGCTTCATCCTAACAGCACATTCATCCTGATATTTTCCATCTCCATGTAAGGACTGAAATAAGACTCATCATATCCTGGGGTCTTTTTGTACTTTGTGTTTAATATAACATTCTTTATTATTAGTTTTAGGAAAGCTAAATTGCATTTACAGGAGACCTTTAATGTGTTTAAGTCTTTGGTTCCTTTATGTTTTTATATGGTCACCGGTTCAACTTTCGACTCGTGGCTTGAACTGAAAACAGGAAAGCCAGAAAGTGAGAATGTTTCCAAAATGCTGATTTCACTTTGCAGTGTATTTGTAAAAGTTATAAAGAAATACCAAGATCTCCCACACCAGCATATCTGGAGCACTGAGAAAGTGCTTCAGAAAGTCTTTTCTCTACAGCTACTCTCACACCTCTTGCCCCTAAAAAGCAGCTTACTGCAGATATGCAGTTACAAGTGCAGTGTGATCCTGGAGGCTATCAGAAATAAGAAGAAATGTTTTGGAAGTGCATTTACCAGCCAGAGAAGCAACAAAGCAGATGGTTTGATGTGTCCAAAGTGGGTCAGTGCAAGGCGATGGGAATGCTGCTTCCCTTCTCCATCAGCTTTTGACCTAATTGCTCAAGCTCAGAACATCTCAGACACTTACTGAAGATTTCCCTTGTTTTCTGTGACCACGTGGCACCACATCCTACAGGGATGGCTCATCACCAGCTTTGTAATGAGATAACCACAGGGAACCCAGGGTGATAAATTTATGGCACTAGGAAATGGCTTTACCTCACAGGACAAACTGTTTTGCTGCCAGAATTGGGAATGGAGATAAACTACTTTCTCCTGTCTGAAACAAAAGGTTTTATCACCTTCCAAATTAGCAGCTATGGGGGAAAAGGCAACCAAAAGGGACAGAGTCTGGAAGGGTTTAGAGCCTCTGATACTGGACTGTTAAAGGCTGCCACTTCATTAACCTCTCAGCTCGTGTAATCACAACCACATATTCAGATTTTGCTTCTGATTTCATTTCCTAGTCCGTTTTCTTATCCTGTGATCTATGGATGAGTATCGTATTTGCCTATTGGCAGAAGAAGTTTGGAGCAGGGAGCGGTATATATGTCAGTGGTTTTCTTATGCAGACATTTTATGGACTAAATAATGCTGGCAGTTACTGTTTTCTTCCCCCACAAGAGAACATATAATTTATTCCTGTCTTATTACATTGGAAGAAATACAGCACAAAAGAAAAAGGGAAGAAAAACACCAAAAAAGGATATGAAGATATAATCCCTTCTAGCCAAAAAAATACCAACTCTATGACCAACTCCTTGTGTGGGGGGAAATTCAGCTTCTAGATTATTTTGATAAACTTTGTTACAATCAGTTTCACACAAAACCCAGCCGCTTGTTTAATCTTAACTGCTTGCAGAAATGTCACCCAGTAAGGACACTGAGGTTATTGGGTTTTCTTCCTTTCAAAAAAAGAGAGTTTGTTTATTTTCCTTCTGTTATTTAGTTTCCCTCTGTAGATTTATAAGGGCTCTGCCACCAACAGCCTTGTATTTGCTCATGAGCTGGCTGTGTGGTTTGTCTGCTTGCAAGAGCAGGAGCATCTGCAGTGGGAGGCAGCTGAGCGGGCAAGCAGCTGAGCGGGCAGGGGTGCAGATGGAGCCTGCATCCAACCCCAGCCATGCTCCCTGCACTGGCAGCATGGATGTGCCAGAACAGCCTCAAAGTAGAAGGGAGTCATAACGTAGTACCAGTCCATTCCAGGAAAATGCCATCACTGAAAAGGAGCCAAATTTGTGCTATCTACAGGATGAAATCAAAAGCCTCCCACTGGCCTGTGAGTCACTGTGGTCCTCTTTCAGCAGCTCACACAAACAGGATTTTGGTGGCAGTCACTGAGGTTTCACAGAGCTGCTGTGCCTGTGGCAGTTGCTGGCCATGTGCTGTATCTCCTGTGCAAACTTAAGACCAGCAACATCCAGCTGCAAGAGGTGCCATGTGTGCCCCTTTTATAGCTGTTGTCCAGCATCCATCCCCTGCTTGCCCTCGCAGTGTGTTTGTGTGCAGTTTGCTCCAAGGGCAGGAGTAGATCTGCTGCTCACACCTCTTCCCAATGTGCTGCACTGTCTGTCTCATAGCAATGGGGGGCTGCAGTCACACAAAGCTGCTGCTGTGTGAACCTCTCCAGTACCAGGACTCCTCCGTTGAGAGCATAACAAGGTTGCAGAGCTCAGCCACTGGCACTGCTGATAGCCATGATTAGAGCCAGGGATGAAACCCTGTTTGCTGACCATCTGCATGGTGCTATTGTGTTATCCCATATGGCAGGCAATGCCTCTAACCCTCCTTTTTCATCTGTTCCCTCCTCAGGCAAGATCCTGTTCCGGAGGAGCCATGTCCGAGATGTAGCTGTGAAGAGGCTGAAGCCCATCGATGAGTACTGCAGGGTAAGAGCTCTGGGGGAGCATCTTGCACCCCATCAGCACTGGGCTTTCCCTTATGGATACTTCTGAGAGCTTCATCTGTGTCGAGTCCATCATAAGGAATGACGGTCTTTCCCAGACACCACCAAAACTAAGAGAGCGGGTGAAAACAGGCCATTGTTTGCTCCCAGGGTCCTCGTGGCATCTTCCCCTGCAAACTTCGTGCCTCATTTAGTCACTAAGACTGTAAGTCTCATCTGCCCTAAATTAGTTCTACATCAGCCTTGATGAATGCAGGAGTTGATCAGGCAGAGAGGCACAACTAAGATGGTGCTTTCTTCTGTTCCCTGCCTCTGTGTCTCCCAGTGCTGCATGAGGAGCAGTGCAGGCTGGCTCAGCCCTGTAGGGACTGGTGGCTTCCAGGAGTGTTTCTCCTGGTGAGTGAAAGCCTGGAGATTTACTTCAGCACCAAGAAGCACAGCTGTGCTGAGAAGGTTAGGTCACCTGATCTTCCCTTTCTAGTTTGGAGTTTATGATTTGACAAGAATGCTCTGACAGTAGATTAAAAGTAATTTCTGAGCAAGGCAGATACCCTTTTTTGTAAAGGCATCGAACGCGTCAGTCAGCGCATAATTCAAACCCCAGACTTCCTCTCTTATTTCCCATGGGTTTTTCTTTCCGTTTTTAGAAAGCCAGAGGAGCAGGTGGAGGGGAAAAAAATACATTCCCAAGAACTTCTCCAGTCAGACATTCGCTCACCCCAAATTGGAAGCAGATCGCCCAAGTGCCCGAGGCGTGCTGAGGCAGCGGGGCGGGGGAGCAGGGGGGTGAAACCCATGCCATCTGCACCCCCCAGGCGAGGAAACTGTGATTAAAGTCTTATCTCATGAGATCAGGCTTTCTTGTGCGACAATTAACGCACTGTCTTCCTGCCTGCGGCTCAGCGTCCCTCTCTCAAATATGCGGGGTCTCGCTGTGTCCCCAGCCACCCTCCTGCAGACAGGAACTGCCGGCGACGCGCAGTGAGGGCTGATGTCAGGGTTCACCCAGCAGATGCGTGGTGGAGAATGCGGTGACTTGTGTGGGGGGCAGCTCCTTCTCTGGGACCCCATTGTCTGCACCACAGACAGACCCGACCCGACCCTGCCAGGCCCACTGGCGCCCCACCGGTCACTACCGAGGGGTATGTTGTGGCGTCGGTGCTGGCACGTTTGTTGACACCGTGGCACTGTGATTGCCACCCTCCTCCTCGCTTCCTTTTTTCTCTTCTGGAGAAGTCTGGCTCTGTTCATAGAATCGTAGAATGGCTTCACTGTGCTTCAGATGGGTCGGGGCAGACCTGCTGCTGCTGCCCAGCTCAGAGAGATGGCTGGGTGCTTCCCCAAAGCTAAGCTGTTTACTTAACCTATTTATTAATAGGCACTGCTTTTCTGAGCATAGACCCAGCCATGTTGGGTTAGCCCTGTTTTCCCCAGCACAGTGTTTCCTGTCTCAAGCAGTAGCAGCAGAATATTATCACAGCTTCCAGTGAATTCTGTCTTATAAGTTTCTTGTGCCTGATACAGTGCCTTTTTATTTCATGTGCAGTTTACTGTAATTTGTCTTTAGTTTGCCTTTGTACGTCACTGCAGAAGATCATAGAGTTTTAGAATGGTTTGGGCTGGAAAGGACCTTGAGATCATCAAGTTCCAAGCCTCCTGCCATGGGCAGGGACGCTTCCCACTAGACCAGGTTGCTCTAGGCCCTGTCCAGTGTGGCCTCGAACACTGACAGGACTGTTTAAATCTGGATGGCACTGGAGACTGAGGCTTGTAGTCACGGAAAAGTTTGACCAGGCATTGCATCTTATGTCTGAGTGCTTTGAGAGGGCTACATCCTCTGTTGTGTCTTTCTGCATGGAGTGCCAGGTCTTTAAGGAAAAAGGCCCTGGCTAATTCATCCGTCCCCCTGGGATTATCTTGATGTAGTGCGTATGAACATGGTTGTGTCTGAGTAGCCTGGGCTGCAGGTAGGTGAGTGTTCGGCTGGTCCTGGGCAGCAAAGTACTGCCAAGGTTTTTTTCCATTCCCTTCATTTGACTCCAAACCCATGCCCAGACATTAACGGTGTCCGCTGTGGATGGTAGGCAGGCTTGTACCCCTCTTCAATCACAGAATCATAGAATAGTTAGGGTTGGAAAGGACCTTAAGATCATCTAGTTCCAGCCCCCCTGCCATGGGCAGGGACACCTTACGCTAAATCATATCACCCAAGGCTCTGTCCAACCTGGTCTTGAACACTGCCAGGGATGGAGCATTCACAACTTCCCTGGGCAACCCATTCCAGTGCCTCACCACCCTCACAGTAAAGAACTTCTTCCTTATATCCAACCTAAAATTCCCCTGTTTAAGTATGAACCCGTTACCCATTGTCCTATCACTACAATCCAATAACAGTATAGAAGTAGCTATGATGTCCTGCCTGTCATCAGATCCAGTTATGGGCTGATTTCTTCATCTTCTGCTACAGCTTCCTTCTAATTACAGAGAGTGAATGAAGATGGTAGCTGGTAATGCCATTGTCTGGCATGGGATGTTCCCAGTCATTCTTAAATCCCATAGCATACAGTTGGCAACCTTGTAAATAATAAACAGAGGGAGCTGAAAGTTGCAGCTCATGCCTCTTCTAAGTCTGCATATTTTATTAGACTAACTTTTTCTTTTGAAGGTTTATGGTTCATCCAATTTGCATTTATTCAAAGAGTAATTGTCCTGTGCTATTGCTATTCCAAACCTGGCCCAGGATATGAAAGTCCACAAGACTGAGAATAATTATGTGAATCAGGCACTGGACTTCAAAGGTACAATACATGTAGGGAAGCAGCTTGTAGAAGGAGAGCTTCTTGGTGCTGTGAAGTCAGTGATAGATCTGTTACAGACCTTCAGCAGGGACAGGATTTCATCTCTGGAGCTTAGCAGAGGCTTAAAATTCAGAAATGCTTTCTTGCTACCTTCACTGAAAGTCACCACTTAGAGGGATTCTGGGAACATGGCCTTTGTAACCTTACTGTAATCTTCCCATGCCAGATGCAGTTAACCAGGAATGACAGCAAGCTGTGAATTGGGTGGTGACTGAACCAGAGTGGCCTCACTTTGCCAGCCTGAGCCAGATACAGGGTCTCTCTCCATTCAGCTGTTAACTACAGAGGGAATCTGGGTGACTTGCTAACTTGTGACCCAATGCTAACTTTTGGAATGCTGAAGTGCAGTGCAGTGAATCCCCTCTTGGTGTAAGAGGGATTTTAAATTTCTTTCGGCTAATCAAATAATATTACTTATTACCGTTTCCCACTTTGTAGCAGCCACTTTTGCATGTGCTTGTCTTGAGAGTGGGATCACTCTGAAAACGTTATCTGTTTTCTGTATTTCTTCCTCTGGCCAGTGGATGTTTTGACCCTTCGGGGAATTGTATAGAACTGTAGAGCGAGAGCATAATTGTGACAAGTTCAGTCCTGTTTCTACAACAGAAGGGTGCAAAGCTCATGTCCCATGCTAGTTCTAAAGTGAGTAGGCAGGCAACATGCTTGATTTTGAAAAATTTAGGGAATTTCGCTGGAATGATGTGGGTGAAGTTGACGGAGAAAATGTGACGTGGGATAATAGAATGGATGCATGAGACAATAGACCTCTGTCCACTGGAATCTGTGAGGAAGCAGAGGAGGGAGGCAGGTTCAGATGCAAAGCTTTTTTTTGTCAGATGAAGGTTCTCCATCTATTTCACCTGCCTTGGAAAGACAAAGCACAGATGGGCCCTGGCAAATAGCGGTGCAAATGCTCGACCATTTGTTGTTTAGTTTTTGCAGGCTGTCTCTGACAGAGCGCGGTGATTTGCACGGCTGAGGAGCAGGTCTGACTTCTGCTGTTTGTGGTGGTGGCTCCTGCACCGGCCACAGAAGCAGTGACAGGCAGAGAGTTTGTAGTGATGCTTGGCAGTAGAGGGAGGTCTGCAGAATGTTCTTTATCAGGGCCATGAGCCCTCTGGACCTTACAGTATGGGCCTCCAAACTCCTCACACATGGGCGATTCTTCATTGCATTGTACCAGCTTAGAGAAATGCCATCACAGAGGTAGTCAGGCCAGTGTTTTTCTTCTGGCCGCAAGAAACTTTGAAGTTGCAATGAAAAACAGAGGAGTGGGGGACAGAGGGGAAGATTTCCAGGACTTTTCCCATCTGTAAACATGAAAGTGCAGTCTGGGTGCTCTTAGCAGTAACCTGAGTGAGTTACCAAACAAACTTGTGTTTTGCCAGTAAATGTGTGCTGCCCACTGGAGTTGGTATCTCTGAATGATTTTCCTCTTAGCTGTAGGCTTGGAATTAGTTTAGTGTGACTTAAGGTCTTCTGGGCTCATAGGGCCTGGTTTTCTGAATTTGTTTAGGGTTTTTTGCCAATGTAAAAGAAAGAGCAGTTTCATAGCCTGCCCTTGCCAGGGGCATTTTATTTATTAAGCTTTTGAATTCTCAAGCACACCTCTGGTGTGTGTTTGTCCAGTATATATTGTCCTGTATTCAAGAAAGACCTCTCATGTCAGTGGTTCACAAAACCACTGCACTGCCCTTACACAGCCCTCTGGGAAGACTCAGGCCAGCATTTGCAGACTTGCATCTTTGTGTGCATTGGTCCTAATTGAAGGAAGCATCTTTGTGCATGGAAGTTCTTAAGATGTGAAGCCCCACTGTCATGAACACCTGTATTGGTGACATGCCTCCATGCTGTCCTGACTGGAGGTTGCTTTAATTAGAAACTTATGGGATTTCCTATAGTGACCCTGGACTACCCAAATGCACATCACCTAAATAAAAATTCGAGGAGCAAGTCACATCAGTGCCAGGAAATACTGGTCACTTTTATTAATGTTCACAACTTGAGAGACCATGCTTCAAAACCATAATTAGCTCCCTCTTGGTTTCTTAGCCCTGCCTCTCTTTCAGGTTTTAATTCTTGAACCCATCAAGACAGATGCACAGATGTTTCTCTCTATCCATTG